ACGATATGTAACAAGACAAAATGAAAAATATCTACTAGCGGTGGGCTTAGGTTGTTACGCTTGAAGATCATGTCGGAAGGAAGAGCTAGGGACCAAGAACTCACCTCATCGTGAACTGTAGCCCAAGTTATAAGCCTCTAAAGTTGGTCGAAGTTAAACTCCTGAAATTCATTATTGATTGGGATGTTCTAGACACTTTCCAGCCTTGATTTGTTCGCCGTTTAAGTTCATTTTGGAAGAAAGAATTTAGGTGGGTGTCTCAAATTTTGGAATCAAAACTCTCGTCCTCTTACCTAATTTTCACGCAAAATCAACCTTTATTGGGCAGCATAATGGGGACCTCCTTAGGCCCCCAATATCTTCATAAATTCTTTTTCTCTCATCTCTAGGAAGCTAATTGGATTGGTTTTATCCAAAAAGATGGTATCTACTATGTAGGAGCTGAATTTTTTATTACCTCCAATCTTGCTTAAAAGAGATTTGATAATGATTTCTTCGATTACCCTTGATCGTGAGCTTCATTGTCATTGTGATCTTCGTGGGAAAGGAAAAATTTGCTCGTAACCTCTAATTGCATTTCAAGTTTTTTCTCCTTCCTCTTTAATGAGCTCCCGAGGAAGAAAAACTCATAATCTAAAAGCTTATTCTTCGAGCTTTAAGGACGATCATCACTCCATTCTTGTTCCAAAACATTGCCCAGAGCTTCAGATTTGTAGAAGGTACCATAACTGACCTTAATTGCTCTACGATAGCCATGAATTTACCACCCAAATTTCTAGAATTCTCATCAAAACTATCATCTCCGATTAGAGGGTTGTTGACCTTAATTTTAAATTTCAGCCGTTAGATATGATGAGTTGTATGCCTCCTAGATCGTATTCAATATTGGAAAAGATCTCACGATTAGATTTTTGAGATCCATTAAATTTTATGTTGGCAACCTTCTATTGCAAATATGATTTTCTGATAGCGTCTATCCAATTTAGATCTCATCTCGCATTTCTAGTTTCTGTGATAAGCTCCTTACAGTCCTAATCACGGGTGACAAGGTTGACCTGTGGGATAGGGTTTGCCAGCTAACCTTCCATGGAAGAACAAAGCAAACTAGGATATACCACTATATCCCCACAAAGAGAGAAATTCCTTTTCATTTTTGAGGTAGCACCTCTACTAGGACACCGATTCTTATTGCATAGGCTAAGACTGTTACCCAAGTCGGGAAGAAGCAAGGGTTGTCCCTAGAGTAGAAAGAATATGTCTGTGGTCACCCACTAGGAAAAGTTTGCGACAAAAGCCTACAAGTAGGTTGATTAAGTACGATTATATACTCACCCCTTGCTTTACTTGTTTTTTTCTTTTTTCAAGAGAATGACTTCACTGTCCGAGGCAAGGGGTGCATGGGAGTTCTACAGCCACAGAGGATGTCGGCCTGGGCATCTAGCTTGTATTCCAACTAGGGACTGTCATACTTGTCTTTTTCTTATTCATGGGTCTCGAACCCTCTCCCCCTATTTTGTATTCGTTCACATACATTACATATATGAGAATCTTTTACTAAGAATTTTAAACTGTGCAAAATTTTAGTGATTCTTCATTGTATTCTATTTCTTCTTATTTTGCATTACATGGTCCATTACGTCCTGATCAGGATTTTTGCCCCTTAATTATCGGGTCGTGACAAATTTGCTATCAAAGCAAGACATCAGGTAGTGTACGAGCGAGGATGTTGGGCTTCAAATCCCATATCGGTTAGGGAGGGAAAACACTAAGATCAACATATTGGTTGAAGAGTTTCTGATAGTGTCTGGACAGTTTAGATCTCATCTCACATTTATAGTCACCGTGATTAGCTCCCAATGTTTGAGTGCATTTAGGTTTAGACTTCTGATTGCCACTCACGATCCTAGAATACTTGATCTACTGAAAACGTACTAACCTAAGTTAACGTAAAAACTGCTAAACGAGGTGATAATATCAAAGCATATATCATAACATCCCATCCACCTTTCTTACCTAGCAAAAAGTATTAAAATAGTTTTGAGTTCCCTAAATTTATTATTAATTTAAAAATATTTATTTTTGGGGAATACAATTATATTGCATATATTTATTTAATTTTATAATAATTATTTTTTGATTATTTATTCATCTTGCAATTTAATTAAATATTTAAAAATAATAAATAAAAATTTTATTAACTACTATTTTATTTTTATTATAAAAAAAAATAATTAATTGAGTTTATTATTTAAGTAGGGTTATTTATATTAAAAAGAATTAATAATTCAAATAATTAAACGTAAAAAAATGTCCAAACCCTATCCACATTTTGACACGTGTTTGCGACGGAAACGAACTTGTATTATCGTTGTAGTGATGATCGCTTGTCAATCCAAAGCTTGATTTGCCAATACGCTATTTGTTTCTTCTTCTTTCACATCATCTCTGAAAGATCTCATTTTTTGGTCCAGTGGCGAGATATTCCACCATTGGACGAGAGGCGCACAGCTCTGGTGTCGACAGGTTGTAATCTGTGTTACACTACATAATTCAAAACACCACCTCACTTTCCTTTTCCCCCCCAAATTTTTTCTTACACACTCCCTCCATCGCTGCCCCAAACCAACACGTTTCTATCCCCAATTTATGTTCCTTTTCCCCCCTTTGATTTCTCAACAGTTCAAATTCTCCGGTTTATATATTCTTGTGATCGAAAATTCTCATCATGGCCGCAGCCGAAATTTGGAAGAACCCGCTCCCATGTTGTATTGAAGGTGCCTGATTTGGCTGACTTTAGGGTTTCTTGCTTCGTATTTTCTTTGGATTTTGGTCCAGCTGTATGAACTGGATCCTGATCCGAACCCCCATTGTTGATTCGGGTTTAAGTTTTCATCGGCAGCGTCGTCTAAGTCTATGGCGTCGAAGGCTTCTTTGCCTTCGTCTTCCGTCGACAGGTCGGATCTGCACGATGACACCCAGGTAAAGAGCTTCTGATCTCTTTCTTTCTTCTCTATTACCCAGAATTTGAAATGTAATTGTGGGCGAGAATCTGTTTTTTTATTTCATTCCAGATTATAGTTTTGTGATTAGACTCGTCAATTTTTATGACGGCATTATCTGAAATGGTTGGCTTTTGATCATACGGAAGTTTTTGTATAAAATCTTGGCGTTTGTACGTTATTACGCACTACAAAATAAGCCATGTAAATTTGGTCTCGTCATGCCCACTTTCGTTGATATCTAAGATTCGCTTTCTTTTTGGATTGTTTACCTTATACTATCTCCAATATTTTTTTGATCCCTATGATGCAGGTGAAGCCTATTAATATGACTGAAAAAGAAAAAAGTTAGACATGATCATCATTTCCATTCTATAGGAACAAACACTCCGTAAACTTTAATTGAAAACTTGTCTAACTTTCTGCTGTTCTCTACAGATAACGAAATCACAAGAACAAGATCCTATTCCTAAGGAGATATTATCAGTCATTGATTTTCTAAAGAAGCAAGTTGCTGGTGAACGCTGTAACTCCGTACAGGTGCTTTCATTATGGTTGCCCAAATTTCCCATCCTTGAGCTAACTTAAAGTCGAGTTTTGCACATATTGTCTCAAGTATTGGTTTCTATTGGCTCTTTCTTAATTTCCAGAAAAGAATGGAAGAAAACAAGCAGAAATTGGTTGGCATCACCACTCACTTGTTGAAATCATCAACAGAAAGAAGGATAAGAAGGGCAAGTGATTCAGATAAGGGGGTGGATCTATTGACGAAGAGGCAGAAAGATGCACTTGATATGCAGAATGGTATCAATGTAAGTGATGGGGAAAATGACCGATCTCAAGAAGATGGCCATGAACCTTCTGCAGTTCTTCTTGGATCTAATGTTGCAGTTAGAAATGCTGTTCGACCTATTAAGCTTCCTGAAGCTAAAACATTGCCTCCTTATACTACATGGATATTTTTGGACAGGTTTGTTTAGTCTTTTCATTGTTTCTTTAGATATCTTTGATACTGCAATTTCAGTTATGAGTTTCTATGAAGGCTTTAATATTGGTAACTTAAGGCTATGTTAGTTTAGTGATTGGTGGTTTTCCCTTGGAGGCAGGTTCTATCTGGCATAGGGTTATGGTGAGTAACTATGGTCCTTTATTCATTTAAATTCTTTGGGGCGATGGTTCTAAAGGCATATAGAAACCTTTGAAAAGTTGATATCTTATTGGTTTTCACTTTTCTCTCTGCTTGTGTAATGCTCATTAGCGATAATTACTTTTAGAAGGACACTTGGTTGGACAGCAAGCCTCTTATAAAGTCTCATCTTTGTCACTTATCTTCTTTGAGGTCTAGTCTTGTGGCTTCCTTTTTGTCTCCTCTAAATGTTTCTTCTTTGTTCTCTTGGAAGGTGAATGCTATAGATCATTTTTTGAGGTATTCGTCCTTTGTGGTGGGTCCAAATTGGTAACTTCTTTATTAGAAGGTGGCTGAGAACCTGAACCATATTCTCTAGGGTTGTCAATTTTCTCGGTCCCTTTGGTACTACTCTTATTAGATGTTCGATTTTTGTCTTGCTAGGAACAATGAGTGTGTTGCTATGGTGGAGGAGGTTCTTTGGACTCTGCAGTGATGGGGCTAGACCTTGTGGAAGGTTAGTCTCTTCACAGTCCTTTGGAGTTTCAAGTTGGGGAGGAATAATAGAATTTTTAGAGATCTGAAGAGTTCTTTGAGGAGGTTTTGGTCACTTGTTAGTTAACACTTTTATTCGGGCATCAACTTCTAGATAGTTTCGTTCTTAACCTCTAGGTCATTATTTTGGATTAAAAGTCCTTCTTACCATAAGCTTTGAGTGGCTCCTTTGTTGGTTTCTTATAAGAGAAAAGATTGTGAACCACAGGAACTACAAACAATACAAATTCCAAGATATGGTGGATAGGTTGATGTAGTCCACGTAGCTATGCTGTGTACATTGTTTCTTGAATTTTGGATGGAGTATAGGGGACCACCTCAATACATTCACCTTATGTTGTCACTAGTTTTTTGTTTTGTTTTGTTTTGTTTTTTTTTTTTGCAAAACAATCAGGAGTTGAGATAAATGGGCTTGGATTACATCAAATGAACCTTATTTTGTATTTTCTTTTTGTCTTGATTTATTTTTTTCTTACGACAAATGATTTTAGCTTGTATAAGAATCTTATTTATTCTCATTTAGTGGAAACGTATTTGTTAAAATATTTTTTCTGTTATGATCGTTGGTGTTTGCACTTGGGTATGTGAAAAAAGTAAAACGGACTTTAGGGGAATGAAATAAAAACTCAGTGATCTCCTATCTAGGACAACATTTACATGTACATTGAACTATGTGAAGCTTGTACGATAGATTCTATCTTGGATTTTAGGAAACCCTTGGTTGAACCATGACTTGAACAATATCTAATTTAGTGCTTGCTTTTTTAATTAGTAGGCCTATGTTTGGTGGTTGAATGAAACTATATTATTAATTCACTTACTATTTGGGATGCATTGTTTTTGCATTACAGTATCTTCGATATTTGTGGAGCCAATAATTTCTGCCTTTTGTGTAAAATTTAGTCCAAAACAAGAACTACTTGTTTCATTAATATTTGGTGATACCGGTGCAGAAATCAGAGAATGACTGAAGATCAATCTGTGGTTGGTCGAAGAAGAATTTATTATGATCAAAGTGGAGGAGAAGCCCTCATTTGCAGTGACAGTGAGGAAGAAGTAATCGAGGATGAAGAGGAAAAGAGAGATTTTGTGGAATCTGAAGATTATATACTTCGGTTGGTATAAACAAATTTACTGTATTCAGACATATGCCAATAATAAATGATATGTTTAGGTTTCACTGTCAAGTGTTGTCTATACAATTATAAAGTATCTTTTACAAGAAATGTAAAGAAACATTATTTTGGATGTGAAGATGAAAAAAAAAAATGTGTTATTCCAAACCCGACATACACTGTTGTCAAATGTATTTTGCCAAACCCGATCAACATGTCAAGTGTATGTCATGCTAAACCAACATGTTGATGGATTAGTATGCCCAAAAAGTATTTTTAAATTGAAGTGATGTACTTATGTTGTAATAAATTATTTGGTATTTTTAAGGAAAACTAGTATAGCCACCCGTTTTACCTCTGTGTCTTTTTTTTTTAAAAATTTTTAATTTCTACCTCGATGAGCATGCATTTATTTCCCTTTTCTCTCCTCATTCAATGTCGACCAATGTGCACTCATGTGGTTTGCTCCTCCCCTTCTCTCCTTATTGAAACATAATCGTTTCCCCTTTCCTTCTCTCCTCTCTATTGAAGTCTGACCCCTCCCCTTCGTCATGCTTTTGAAGGTCTTGACTCCTAGCCGTTGGCCACAGCTCTCTTTTGCCTCAATTTGATCTCTCATTCTTATTCCCATGCACAATGAATTTTATTTGTCACCTGTTCTTTGCTAGAATCACAACTTTCTTAGACATGAACTCTCAAATATATAGGCTGTCTATGGTGTGCATTGGTTTTGGTTGGTTTATACAACTTTCCACAGCCATTCACCTCCAAATGGGTGCCAGTTTGTATTGAAAATTGGCATTGACCAACTAATGGCCACCATAATTGAGAGAACAAGGAGTTTTTATTTATTTATTTTTAATTTTTTTAATTTTTTATTTTGTTTTTGAGAAGGGGTTGATGAGGTGGAAAGGTCCCACCTAATCAAGTGGAAGATGGCAATGAAGCTAGTAGATCTAGGAGAACCAACATTCCCATTGTTCAACGCCTCCCTTTGAGCTCCTGCCACTAGGCCCTTATGTAGTTTTGAGATTGATCTTGTGCTTTTGGATTAAAGTCTTTTTTTGTAATTAGTTTTGGTCTCTTTTGGTTGGACTTGTCGTTCTTCCTCCTCCAGTGTCTCTGATTTCGCTGCAATATGTATAGGCATCATAAAGTATTCTTTCTATGAAGGTGTTCAAAAATTATCAGACAGATTTTCCAATTAATGTTCTTGATTATTTTCATACACTAAGTTTTGTTTCTAATCATGGTTGAAATGTAACATTTCAATTGGATGATGCACAAATAGTCTCGATTTGTTTGCATAAACTATATAAAAATTGAAGATAACTTGCTATTATTTACCTTGACAGCATGACCATTAAAGAAATTGGTTCATCTGATCTGGTGCTAGAATCACTTGCAAGTTGTTTCTCTAGAAGTCCTGGTGAAATACAGGTGTGAACTTGTACATTGCATTCTTTTCTCTGCTCCATCTGATTAAAACTGGTCATAGTGTAAGCTTTGGTCCAGCTGTTTCCCATTTGCTTTGTGCTGGCTTTACAGAGATATGAAACACCGTCAAACATCTTATACAGGTAAGATATGAAGTGCTTACGCAGGGAGAAAAGGCTGTAGGGTGTTTTAATAATAGGATCAATGAGGAGATCTCACATATTGCAAGTACTTTTCTTGATAAAGATCTAGATGCAGCTCTTGATTCCTTTGACAATCTATTTTGCCGCCGCTGCCTTGTAAGTTTTCTGTAGCTGCCCTTCTCCGAATTGTGTTTATAGTCTTTTACTCAACATTTGGTAACTTTTTATTGCTACAGGTCTTTGATTGTCGATTACATGGTTGTTCCCAAGATCTTGTCTTTCCTGTAAGTTTATGCTAAAAGATCATGCATATGTGTGGCTGAATGTACATTTTATTGTATCCATCTTACGAATTATGTTGTCACTGATGGAAGTTATTGTTCTACAAAAAAACTCAGGCTGAGAAACAACCTAAATGGGGTCCCGTAGGTGAGGAAAATGTACCCTGTGGTCCACTCTGCTATCGATCAGTATGTGTTGGTTCTTTTTACTATTATGATTTACTTGGTTTAATTATTGAATAATATTTCCATTATCTGTATCAATAGTCTATACATTTGTTCACAGGTACTGAAATCAGACAAAAATTATACAGGGGGCTCTCCACTTCGCAGTGACTTGGAAGAAAAACATCCCATGTCATCTGATGGTACTGGTGCTCAAATCTCCAAAAAAAAGAAATCTTCTCGTAAAGCTGCTCGAAGAAGGGCAAAATCCTATCAAAGTGAAAGTGCCTCATCAAATGCAAAGAACATATCAGAAAGCAGTGAGTCAGAGAATGAACTCAGGCAGGATGGGAATACTATTCATCAATCGCCACCACCAAATTCAAAGATAACAGGAGTGGGTGGAATTCCAAAAAGGAACAGCAAGCGTGTTGCTGAGCGTGTTCTCATTTGCATGCAGAAGAAGCAGAAGAAAATGGCTGCTTCTGAGTCAGAATCTCTTGCCAGTGTTGGCCATTGTCCAAATGATGTGAAAATAAAATCTAATTCATATAAAGAAAATGATGATACTAGTTCTTCATCACGTAAGAATATTAGATCTCCTACTGTGGGAAGGCCTAGGAGGGAATCCCTGACTCAGCAATACAACAAATTTGAGCAGAATGAAACACTCAATAATTCATCAAATGAGATAATTACTCATCTACCGATCGACAGTTGTGATGATAACTCAAGGATTGAAGAGTGTGTGGATGAAAATTTATGCAAGCAGGACTTGGCAGAGGATAAATCTTGGAAAGCTATTGAAAAAGGTCTCTATGAGAAGGGCATTGAGATTTTTGGTAGGAACAGGTCTGTGCATACTGTTACGATTTCTTATATTAACTTTAGCATATCTTACTGATGTTATTCCATGTGGGCTCGATTCTATATGCATTGTTCGTCATTTAGCAATTTTGATTCTTACCAATGGAGTTTTCTCCTGTGAAACAACAGTGAAGAAATTATTTTAACCCTACATTTTTTAGGCTTCTAGGAATTACTACAGTTCTTTTTTCCCATTTGCCTAATGCATATCTTGTCTGGTCTTTGGGGTTATAGGCTTATAAGTACATAATAAAATTACCTCTAATTTTTTCCTGGAAAATTTGTTAACATCTTGAATTTGAAACACAAAGTGTTAATCTTGAAATCTGGACGTGAATCCAGAAGTGTGATATAGATAAGTCCAACAGTTATGTACATACAGTTTGCTATCTATATATTCTTACACTATAATTGGAGTTTTATGTATGTTATTTCTCATTGTAATTTATGTGCTTTTCATCTTTCATACAGCTGCTTAATAGCTAGGAATTTACTGAATGGGATGAAAACCTGTTGGGAAATTTTTCAACACATGAATTATTCTGAAAACAAGAATTGTAGCCAAGTGGGTGATGGGTCAAATCCTCATCTTGATGGTTATGCCAAGGTTGGTTTTTAGAATCATGGTGAATAGGTTCTAGTTTGCCTCTCCCATGCCCCATTTTTATCACCCTGTCTACTTTTTCGTCCTCTTGTACCAAGTTCAATGTTGAAAATTTCAGGGTAATAATGAGGTGAGAAGAAGGTCAAGATTTTTACGTAGAAGGGGTAGAGTTCGTCGATTGAAATATACCTGGAAATCAGCTGCTTACCATTCAATCCGGAAGCGAATAACTGAAAGGAAAGATCAGCCATGCAGACAGTATAATCCATGTAGTTGCCAAACTGCCTGTGGAAAGCAGTGTGCCTGTCTTTTAAATGGCACCTGTTGTGAGAAGTACTGTGGGTGAGCCCAGATTCAGAAATCAATTATTGAATGGTTTCCTCATTCAAGAATGGGGATGTCATTTGAATTTGGTTTTTCCTTTTTCTCTTAGTTTTATTTATATATTTTCAGTCCTCGTCCATAATTATTGTCTTTGATCTTCATTTGGTTTATCCTAATTGTATTATAGCTATTTTTTATATATGAAACATTTTGTAGGAAATATTAATGATCCATTTAATATTTTAATCTTTCAACTGACATTTAAAGGTGCCCTAAGAGTTGCAAGAACCGTTTTAGAGGATGTCATTGTGCCAAAAGTCAATGTCGAAGTCGTCAGTGTCCTTGCTTTGCAGCAGATAGAGAATGTGATCCAGATGTTTGTAGGAATTGTTGGGTCAGGTGAGTTCAAAGTTTCTTTTCAATCGTTTATTCAGATGTTGTTTACAGCATAATAAATGATAAGGCACTTTGTATGCGAGTATGATAAGCTGATGAGTGTCTGCCAATCTCAGTAAAATCTTTAGTTGCAGGTAGTTGTTGCAGCTTTTTGCTTTCGTGTATTGTCATTCATCAATTAATTATTACCTTTTTGCTTCACATAGATTAAGTGCATTTCCCTGCGCTCATTAACTTTCTGTGCAACTTTCCTTTGTAGCTGTGGTGATGGTACTCTTGGGGTTCCCAACCAAAGAGGCGATAATTATGAGTGCAGGAACATGAAGCTTCTTCTGAAACAACAACAAAGAGTAATCACATTTTTTCTGTTTCTCTTACATTTCTTTTACACAATTTTGATCCAACTTAGTGCACGGTTTTTGTTGCCAGTTTTATTGCATCCTGTTTTAGCACATCTTGTTCATGGCTACAATAACTTAAATGCTATACATATTATGAATTGTTCTTCGTAAGAAATAACATGTTCTGCATGGGTATTCCCCCCTCCAACCATTAACTATTTCGTTATTTAGGTTGATTCTAACTCGATGATATCTTTAGGCCTTTGAATTGTTCTTGGCGCCATAAATGTTATTGATTTGAACTAGGTGATCAAACTTATTTTTGGCTAAGTAATTTTTTTTTCTCATTCTTGTTGGTTAAGTATGAAGAGGCTAATGATCAATTTTGATAATCTGAGTTTAAGTTTAATTCTTATTTATTATTTGTGTGCTTTAGAAAGTATGTGGGTCGTAACTGAAGGTAGAGTTTACAGGGATGAGAAAGATGATGCATAGACAGCATTATTTATAGCTAGCAATGTTGTGGGGGGTGCCGAGCTAGCAATGCGTACACTAAGCGGAGCTCTTAAATCTTTCTTCTCAGTTTTGACTTCTAATATGTACTTCCTTGCTCGTGTATGACTAGTAGGTGAATTTTATCAACCAACTTGATAGTAGTTGGGAATCTCCTTCCGTTACCTACAGGTAGCTTAGATGCCATCTTGGCCCAGATTTACTGATTCCCAACTCTGGGGGACTCTAAGGTTGATCATGTGCAACTAGCGGTGGAATCTAAAATGGGGATTGGATAGCAAGTTTGTCAGGAAATATGAGCCTTCTTAAAACTCAAACTACTTTGAAGTAAATATTCACAGTAATTAGGGGACTTGTTGAGCTGCATAGATCAAGAATGGACAAGATTGGGGGGATATTCTAGAAGGAATCTAGTAGATTTTTGTGCTCTTTTCTTATAACTTTGAACCTTTACTCAGCCGACTGCCTCCGAGAAGCAGGGATTGTGCCATTCATTTGTAGCAGGGCCACCTAGGGTGATGTATGGCCGGGCCTTTTCCCCAATTCCAAAAGGACGAAAACGAGGGTTAGTTGGTATAGCTTGACAATGTTAGCGGAGGTGACCAAATGGTACTGGTTCATTCTCTAGTTCGATTCTTCTTGGCAGGAAAAAGAGAATGCCATTTGCCACTTCTATGTGGCCTTGAAAGCCTTGAAAGCCTTGAAAAGTATAACAATTCTCAACAAATAATACCCATAGTAGAGGAACTAGTAGATGAATTGTTAGCTAAGGTGAAGTTTGTGACGTCCTTGGTTTTGACCTTGTTTTAAAGGAGTCCTTCACGCTTGTTGATCTTCTCCAATTAATCTCGGGTCCCCGGGCTGCTAGCCACGAGGAGTTTGATTCTCTGCTTTTTGATGTTTTCAGTGACCAGCCATGAAGTGTGAAGGAGATTAAGAAGAAGTTTAATCAGACATCCTCTTTTTTATTCTTGGAAAAAGGTCAAAAGGATTTGCCATCAACTCTAGAAGTTTTTGAAAATTCTAATTCAGACTTGTTAGATGACAAGTGAACGAATTTGGTTGGATTTACTTCAAAGTCGAAGATCAGTGAAAGCTTGGAATATTGTATTCATCAGTCTCATTCTGTGCCATCCTCTAATCATCCTTCATTCTTATATTCTTCACTAATCAAAGTCGAAGATCAGTGAAAGGTTGCAATTTTGGAGAAGAAAGGCTTTGGACTTTGCTGAAGAACTTTGATTCAATCATTTATTTCATCCGGGAAGAAAAAGGCCACTACAGCCAAGAAACAGAGTAAAAATGAATTAAGGAGATTGCTGGCCTCCTCTCGAACTTGCTCAAGGCTAGATTGAATAGTTTAGATGCCATCTTGTTAGAAAACTTAAATATGATAAAAGATTATTCTCGAATTTCTAAGAAAAAATCTCAAGATCTCAATCTTGAGAGAACAAGTTTTATTCATTCATAGCCAGCCCATACAAGCTTAATTCAAGACTTTTTATAGCTATTCATTATAAGAAACGCCCTCCCTTTAAAATTCCTAAACAGGTACAAGAACTGATGGACATAGTTGAGAGTCCCATACTTAGTTGTGACATTTAAAAGCTGAAAATTACACTTAAGTTTATGAAAGCTAAAATAATAGATGAAGTCTTTAAAGTGTTTGCCAAGCTCAAATGTTATTAATGTTAATTTTATAATCAACTTCAACCTTCTAAATGTTGACCTCCAAAGCTCCAAAAGGTCCTTCCTCACTTGAATTAGCTTATAACACGAAACAAATGTTGGACTGACTAGTCATCCAATTTGTTTATGAAGAATGAATGCTTGTTGAATCTTCTTTGGCTTTGAATCGTATAATAAGTTCTAGTTAGAACTTGTGAAACACCATTATCCTTATCACTATAGGTTCCCAATAGTTCTCGTGAACCCCAAATAAGTAAAAGCCAAAGTTTCCAAAACTTGTGTTTTCTCCTCTCCACATTCACCCTAATTAGGGAACGGTTGGCTATATTGAGGTGAAGACTTGAACCCTTGAGAAAAAGATTTAACTAACATCCACCACCAATTTTGAAACACCTCTTCAGAATGGAGACACAAGATCACTGTATTGTTTGCTTATTGAAGATGAGAAATTTGCAGACTGCTTTTCACCTCAAAGCCCTCTGTGATACAAAGGCCGACTGATCTACTGAATGCATCTCCCACGAAGGTAAAAGGAAAGGAGAAAGAGGGTCTCCTTGCCTCAAGCCTCTAGAAGCATGAATCTTACCTCAGCAACGTCCAAAGCCTTTCTTCTCCAAAATTGCATAAAATGGGCTCAATCAACTTTATTGTAAGCTTTCAACTCTTCCACGGTCTCAGCAGCATTCGAAATGGCTTAAAAAATCTGACTACCCTTTATAAAAGCCACTTTTCATCAATAATTTGAGAGAGTACTCTTTGTCTTTCAGCTAGGACTCCTATAATTTTGTAGGAGTAGACGAAACTGATGGGTCTGTAACCACTTAGTCAGTTTGCACTCTAGCTTCTGTAGAATAAGACAAATATAGGTTTCGAGTATTTTTCCGTCTGACGAGAATAATATTCTACAACGAGCAATTCATTTATTTTCAAACTGACCCATTTACTATCTATTATTTGATTGACTAATTCTTTATATTGCAATGGTTGAAGAGTCAAATGTTTTGGCAATTCCTGAAGCGGGGATGAATCAAGATAATTTTGAATCAGTGCTCTCGATTTTTTTTCATCCTTTGCTGTAATAATATCTCGGGGTTTGCAACGATAACTTGCTATATCCACTATAGAACCATTAACTAAAATATGTCTATGATTAACTAATTGGCGGGCTNTAATATCTCGGGGTTTGCAACGATAACTTGCTATATCCACTATAGAACCATTAACTAAAATATGTCTGATTAACTAATTGGCGGGCAATGTTACTGAAAGTTTACAGTTAATTATGGTACAAAGCCACTGATGTTAGTGTCGGCCCAACAGAGTGCTTTTGCCGTCGGTGTTCTTTTCGATCTCTACGCATTTCATCGCTCCACCAAAAATTCCCTTTGCCCCTACCATACTCCACTTGGTAGTTTCCACTGCCTGTCCAGGGTTGAGCCCTAGGATTTGACTGCGGACTTAAAAAGCCACCTGTAGACGCTTTATGCCCAATCATTCCGGACAATGCTTGCATCCTTTATATTATCGCGACTGCTGGCATAGAGTTAGCCAATGCTTATTCCCCAGATATCGTCATTGCTTCTTCTCCGGGAAAAGAAGTTCACGACCTATAGGCCTTCTACCTCTACACGACATTGCTTTGTCAGGCTTACGCCCATTGCGGAAAATTCCCCACTACTGCTTCCCATAGGAGTCTGGGCCATGTCTCAGTCCCAGTGTAGTTGATCATCCTCTCGAACTGGCTACTGATCATCGCCTTGGTAAGCTATTGCCTCACCAACTAGCTAATCAGATGTGAGCCTCTCGGGCGGATTCATCGCCTTGGTAAGCTATTCCCGGTCGACTTGCCTGTGTTAAGCATGCTGCCAGCGTTCATCTTGAGCCAGGATTTAACTCTCCATGAGATTCATAGTTGTATTACTTATAGCTTCCTTGTTCGTAGACAAAGGTAATTCGAAATTGTCTTTCATTCCAAGGCATAACTTGTATCCACTTATAGCTTCCTTGTTCGTAGACAAAGGTAATTCGAAATTGTCTTTCATTCCAAGGCATAACTTGTATCCATGCGCTTCATATTCGCCTGGAGTTCGCTCCCAGAAATATAGCCATCCCCACCTTGTAACGATTCGGTATAGTTTGTCATTGTGTGATGAGAGTTTAATGTGACATGTTTCTTGACTCCAATTATGTAGGTGTTACTTGGAAGATCTGATATATCTGGTTGGGGAGCATTTTTAAAGGTAACCTCAAGCTCAACCTATCATAAACTTATTTTCTAATGCTGCTTGCTTGCTAAATTGTGTTGCCACCTCCAGAATAGTGTTGGCAAACACGAATATCTCGGCGAGTATACTGGGGAGTTAATTTCTCATAGGGAGGCTGATAAACGGGGCAAAATATATGATCGTGAAAACTCGTCGTTTCTGTTCAATTTGAATGACCAGGCATGTTTTTGTTCTAACACTCCTTGTAAATCATGAGGATAATCTACTTTTTAATGCAAGTTCTAACCTGATTTTTTGTATGCTTTGTTTAGTTTGTTCTTGATGCGTACAGAAAAGGTGATAAATTAAAATTTGCCAATCATTCTCCAGTTCCGAACTGCTATGCTAAGGTACATATGCGTTCAATGCATCTTTTCATCCAAACTGCTAATAATTCCATAATGCCTCTATTCAACCGCTGATCATCTATTTCAGGTCATCATGGTTGCAGGAGATCACCGGGTTGGCATCTTTGCCAAGGAAAGAATCAGTGCTGGTGAGGAACTGTTCTATGATTATAGATATGAGCCTGATCGAGCCCCTGCTTGGGCTAGGAAGCCTGAGGCATCAGGGTCGAAAAAAGACGACGGTGCTCCATCGAGCGGTCGAGCAAAGAAACTTGCTTAATTTAACAATTCATTTGGGACTTGGTAAGTTAAATTTTTTTTGTAATTCTTTCAGACAAGATTGTCGATCCTCATTGATGTTAGATCTTAGGTGTATTCTTGGATCCATTTGTAGGGAAACATCATTTACTTACCTCCATAGGAATTTCCCTTCTGATTTGACACATTGAAATGAAAAGCTTGAGGAGAGGATACATTGAAATGAATGTCTGCCAAATTATCATGTTACATACTTAACATATACGTCTTATATGCTCTTGAATTCATTCAATATACCCGTGGGATGTCCTTTTTTAACAAAATGGTATAAGGTCGAGTCGTTTCAAGACATTTTTAACAATTTAGTTGATGAAAGTATTCTAAACAAATTGTCGATCATGCATCACTATTTCTTTTTTTTTTCTTTTCGTGGTGGGTTCCTTAACTAAGCCACTGCCTTTGAGTTGCTGACTCATTCTTCAATAGGTTAGAGTCCTGTTTACTCCTATTGCTTGGAAGCTTATGGTTTCATGTTCTATTTCACTCCTTGATGGAGGTTCTTTTCACCCTTTCCCCACAGTATTACTTCACTATCGATCATCCAGGATTATTTCATATTTCTCTTGCTACTCGGCTCCGTAAGCCAGGTTTGGGCTATAATATGAAAGCTTTCACACTACCCTTTAAAACCAAGCGAGGGGCAGCCACATTAACAGGAGTTATGAACCCTCGGGAAATGTTTGTAAGTGGCGCTATCGTTTTTCAAAATCAATAATTTCATTTTTTTAAGGCATTATTGATAAATCATTGCATTCTTGTCCAACATGAAGACATTCTGCAGATTCCAAATAATAAAGTAGTTCACAAAGTAAATGAGTGTATTCAGAGCTGTCCCCAAATTTCAAGTTCAACATTCAACTCATTCATTACCTTATCATTCAATCCTTTTGTACTAGACCCCAAGCAATCCTTCCCACTTCTGTTGTATGATTTTTAGTTTTGCTTTACAATTTTCTGTGCTTTTGAAGTAAATTTTGATTTCTTCTGTCTTTCTCTAAAGTTTAGATTAAGGGTTTGGCACCGCCTTTGGCTGGTGTTCATAGATTGACGTTTTACAATCAACAGGATACTGTCACTAACATTATTCATGACTTCGAATTTTGTGTTGATGATGAATAAGTTCCCTAATCTTTGAATTTCAGCTGGTGATTTTGGAGTATATTGGTTGGGAAGACGCGTTTTAAAAACCTTGAGAGCAAGTCCGAAAGGGAAAACCAAAGTGGATAATATTTGTTAGTAGTAGACTTGGGTTGCTATAAATAGTATCAGAGCTAGACACCGGGCGATGTGCCGAGGAGGTTGAGTCCCGAAGGGGGGTGGACACGAGGTGGTGTGCTAACAAGAATACTAGGCTCTAAAGGGGGTGGATTGAGGGGCCCCTAGATTGATTGGAGAAGGGAACGAGTGCCAACAAGGACGTTGGGTGCTAACAAGAATACTAGGCTCTAAAGGGGGTGGATTGAGGGGCCCCTAGATTGATTGGAGAAGGGAACGAGTGCCAACAAGGACGTTGGGTTTTGAATGGGGGTAGATTGCAAGATCCCACATCGGTTAGAGATGATAACAAAACATTCTTTATAAGGGTCTGGAACTTCTCCCTTGAACCTTGAGAAGAATTTGCTAGGTTTAAGTTATTCTTCTGTTTTTTTTGAGTAATATTTGAAAATATATTTGTGATCTTGTTTCCTTTTATTTTATAATTTATTATTATAATGATTTCAAGTGGAACTTGGAAACATCCAACATTCTTTGTTCTGTTTTTGGTATAAAATCCAATTTGAAACAAGTTTTGCTTTATTTTTAAAAACATGAGGCAATTCTCTTTTATAACATTTTCCAATATATTTATGTGGATCCCTGGCAACCCATAGTTGAACTAGTTTTAGATTCCGTTTTGAGGAATTAATTAATTGATAATAAATTATTAAATGCATTCTTAATTACATCTATTAGGTTTATACATAAATGAGGTTTAATAAGTGCATGTTTTTAAATAGATGGAAATATGTTGGCACGTGGTGGAAAATGCAGAATATAATTATGCCAAATAACGGGTATCCGAGCAATCTTGCAGTAGAAGGACAAGCTAATAACTTTGTTCAATCTGCTATCTCGAGATTTGATGGTCACTATGATCATGGGGTGATGTTGATGGAAAATTTCCTAAGATCAAAGGAGTTCTTTGATAGGGTGGAGACGAGCTATGAAGAACTAAGTTCTAGGTGTTTGTTTTAATCCTCACTTCCTTTTTTCTCATAGCGTTTTGGTTGTTTAACAAAAATATATTCTTTTAACTAGCATATAAAAAAGCTGATTTGGACGGCAAAAACAATGATCATTTTCACCGTATCTATTATGGCCACATGTGTGTACACTTCCGTATAATCAATTCCATGCTCTTGTGTGTAGCCTTTTACAACCAATCTTGCTTTGTATTATCATTTCTCCAGACTCATTTAACTTGGTTTTATAAATCCATTTCACTCCTATTTTCTTTGCTCCACCCGGTAGAACCACCAAGTTCCACGTTTGATTTTTTTCTTCATCCGTAGCCAATCTCCATTTTGGATTTTGACCGCTTCCTCAAAATTCAGAGGATTTGTAATCATAAAAAATGCCATATTTTCTTCATCCTCTTCAGATAAACCTTCACCAGAATTATAATCTGCTAACCATACAGGTGGATGTCGATTTCTCCCCTCCCTTATTGTCAAATTTGGTGCAACAGCTACTGGAAAATTGCTTTTAGTAATCGGTTCAGTCGTTTCTTCCATGATTTTCGCTTCTTTGTTTTCAACAACTGGTTCAATTGTTTCAGCAACCAGTTTAGTCGTTTCCTCCGTGACTTCTCCTTCTTCGGCTATGTTCTCACCAATTTCAATATTTTTCCTCAGTTCAATTTTGTTTAACATAAAAAAAATTTCCAATCTCATTCACAATCTTTCTCGAAAGCTACATTACGATTTACTATAATTTTATTTGTAGTTGGATCAAACATTCTGTAGCCTTTGGATTCTCTGCTGACTCTAAATAAAACAGATGTTACACTTTTATCTTCAAGTTTGCTTCTCTTGGCATCTGGAATATGGACATGTCCCACACATCCAAAAACTCTGAAATAACCTATTGGTGGTTTCACTACGCTCCAAGACTCTTTTGGTGTTATGTCTTTTATTGCAAGAGTGGGTGATCGATTCAAAATGTGAATCGTCCACCTAACTGCTTCAGGCCAGAAATATTTAGGCACTTTCTTCTCTGTCAGCATAGCTCTTACCAAGTTCATTACAGTGCGATTTTTGCATTCGACAACTCCATTTTGGTGTGGGATATAGGCTGTGGTCAATAGTCTCTTAACTCCATGCCATTTGCAAAAATTGTTGAATTCTCCTCCTCTATCTATCCTTAAACATTTTATGGGCATTCAAATTTCCTTTTCCACCATTGCTTCGAAACATTTGAAATGATAAAATGTTTATGATTTTTTTCCAAGAAAATAACTTCATGTCTTCCTTGAAAAAAAACATCTATAAAGCACAACTAAGTACTTTTTCTGGCCACTGGAAGCTAGTGAAATTGGACCACATAGATCTGCATGAATAAGACCCAATTTTTTCGTTGCTCTCCATTTACCCATTTTTGGAAATAGAGTCCGATGTTGCTTGTCTCTCATACATGCCTCACAGGTGGTGTTTGGAGCTACAATTTGCGGCAGGCCTTTCACCATGCTTTTGTGTTTCAAGGTACACAAGCCTTTGTAGCCAAGATGACCATAACGATGGTGCCAAAGTGTTGACTGATCCGTATTTGAAACTTGGAGGCATCTTCCTTCATTTGTTGTGGTAGATGGTTCAGTATGCAAAATAAACAGCTGATTTGCACTCATAATTGACTCTCCTATTTTTCCTTTTTGTGGATGATAAATACTACATACATCATCTTTGAACAACACTGCTACTCCTATTTCTTGTAATTGTCCAACGCTTAAGAGATTATTTTTGAGTTAAGGTACCCAATACACATTACTAATAGTATAACGAACCTCATGCGAAGTTAATTTTACTGCACCATTTCCCGTAACTTTCATACTTGTATTATTCCAAGCTTGACAATGTGGGAAAAGGTCTTGTCTAAGCTTGAAAACATACCTTGCACACATATGGTTTGAGCAAGCAGAATCTAAGAACCAAGCATCACTCCTTTTTGCTTCATATCTTTCCATATGAGCCATTAACAGCATTTCATCATCTTCTTCAAGCTCTGCATAATTCAATTCCTTATTCATATTTGGACATTAATATTGAAAATGACCTAAGTCATGACACCTATAACATTCAAATGTTGCTTGGTTGAAAGTTGATCTTCCTCTTCCGCGTCCTCTGCCCCTGTAAGTTCCTCTTCCTCTATTACTTATTTTCGTTCGTCCTTTGACTTTTAGAACTTGCTCCTCTCCATTAATGCTGGATCTTCGAAATTTTTGTTCATGCACCAATGAACTTTGTAATTCGTCAATGGACATGTTATCATTATCTTTGGATTCCTCAATGGATACTACAACATAAGTAAATTTTTCAAGTCAGGGTACGCAAAATTTTTCTATAATTTTCTTGTCTGGCATATCTTCTCTATCGCTTCTCATCTTGTTGGAGATTATCATCACTCTTGCAAAATAATCTGTGATAATTTCATCCTTCTTCATCTCTAGGATCTCAAACTCTCTCCTTAATGCATTAAGAAGAGATTTCTTCACTTTTTGGTTTCCACCAAATCTTCACTTCATTGAGTTCCAAACAATCTTGGCTGTGTAGCTATCCAAGATTTGTTCAAAGACAGTACGATCAATTGCCTGGAAGAGGTAAATCCTTTACTTGGTGATCTTTGAGTCTAGCATCATCAAGGTGGCCCTTTTGTGCCTCAATGGTTCTGAGAAACCAATCTCCTCCACACTCCATAGACCGTTTTCACAGAGCAAATTTTTCATCAGCTCACTCCAATGAGCATAGTGGCCATCGAAGTGAAGGATTTTCGCTAAAGTTTTATCTTCACTCATACTCTCTCTATTTGATCACGAAAAAAATTGCAGCTCTGATACCAATTGTTAGGTTTTGACAGGAGAATAACTAAGCCAGAAACATAAACAAAAGTTTGAAGTGATGATAGTATTGACTTTTATAGCTTTACAGTAACATAAATAGAAACTAACCACAAATCTAGTAAACAAGGTAATTCGAATCTTAAACCGGTGTTTTTGCTGAACTATTTGATTAACAAGGTAATTCGAATCATATTTTCCCTAGGAGTGATTCCTTATCTTTAGGACTAAGTGTTCTTACATTTCCTTAAACCAAGAGCTAAGTTTTTTTTGCAATTCTATGTAGTTTAGGTTGCATTCTTAGAATCATTCAAGCTTGACGTGATCAATCTTGCTTATTGAGTGATTCAAATCTCAAACAAGTGTTATTGACTTGAGATATTCGAGCAACAAGTTAATTTAAATCTTACTTCCCTATGGTAATTCTTTATCAGATTCATTTTCATTCGGGAAATCAAGAACTCAAGCAATTTTGGAGTTAGGTTCATTCAGATATAAGTGGTCCTATCTCTTCAGCATCAAATGGTAACAAGAAGAAAAACATGAATTTATTTCTTGCACGTCAAATCATAATCTTTTGATTACTTCATTATTATTTATTTATTTATTTATTTATTATTATTATTATTATTTCAATGATGAAAATTGAAATAGGAAGAAGAGTTAAGGCTTTGAGAATTGATAGAGTTGGAGAGATTTGCTCTTACGAATTTGCTCCAGTTTTGTGAAGAGAAATGCATAAAGAGGTAGTTAACAGTAGCATATACACCGAATCAAAATAGTGTGACCAAAGGGAAGAATGAGATCATTCTCAATATGGTTCAAATTTTCTAATTAAAGGAGAGTTCCAAAGAAGTTCTGGCCGGAAGCTGCTATGTGTAGAGATGTCCATTTTACACACGGGGACTCACCCCAAATGGGGAAGGAGTTCTCCCTGTAGATGGGGAATGGGGGATGGAGTGGAGAACACTTTTTTCGTTAGATAAATGAGGACGGGGACGTAATTATATTACTCAACCCCATCCCCACCCAAATCCCTGCCCCACCCTGTCTCCTCCCCGTTTAATATAAATATATTTTCAACACATTTTAATATATATTAAAAAAATATAAATTAAAAACTAGATTAGTTAATTTTGAGACCCTAATTGTATTATTTAAACTAAAAACTATGTTGTCCTTTTTTTGTAATTGTTATAGACTATGTTATAATATTAAAATTTAAATTTTAAAAAATTATGTTGATAAAACATTATATATATGTGCGCTTATGAAATATGGGGAAGTTCGTGGGAATGAGGAATGAAATGGGTGGCATTAACAGGGAAAGGGAAGGCTTCCCTGTCCCCACTCCGTCCTATGGACATTTCTAGCAATGTGGTCAGTTCACATTCTCAATTGAAGCCATACTACGTCTATATTGGGGATATGACTTCACAAGAAGTATTGAGTGGAAGGAACCCTGCGGTGGATCATTTTAGAATCTTTGGGTGCATGCGTATGCACATTTTCCTGACGGGAGAAGGTAGAAACTTGAAGACAAGAGTTTGAAGTGTGTGTTCGAGATTCCTACAGATCTTGAAGAAAAACAAGTTGAAACCTTTGTTCAATCTCACCATGTCATGTAGAGTGCTCATCACAGATTCAACAAGAAGAATCCATAGAAGAAGAAAATCATAATTAAGATAAGAAAAATTTAAGATCAAGAAAGAGACCAGTTTGGATGATTGATTATGAGATGGACGATGACTAAGTTTTGATAGTATTATTTTGCATTATTTACATATATCGAGAGTTTAGTTATCTTACCAAAGGGTATGGTAGAAGAAAATTAGACTAAAATGGATTTTTAAAATCAAGTTAATGAATATGGTGAGGTGGATAAGTTCAAGATATGTCTAGTTGTAAAAGAATACAAGCAAAAATATGGAAATGAACTACGAGGTATTACATAAATCATGGCCTATTTATCAACTTAGTCGACTTTCTTACATGGAGAGCTTCAAGAAGAGGTGTACGTGGAACAACCAGATGATTTTTGTTAGATGAACACGACTCTCCACAATGGTATGATATTGTCCACTTTGAGCATAAACTCTACAATTCTTTGATTATAAACCCATGATCATTCCCTAAATTAGCCGATGTGGGACTTTCATCATCCAACACCTCCCATTGAACAAAGTATGTCTCCCCTTAATCGAGGCTCGACTCCTTTTCTTTTAGAGTTCTTTGTTCGACATTTGAGAATTTACCAATCTATTGGCACGACTAAGTTTAGGGCATGACTCTAATACCATGTTAGATGAACACAACTCTCCACAATGGTATCCACTTTTAGATTAAGCTCTGATGGCTTTATTTGGACTTCCCCAAAATGCCTCATATCAATGGACCGAATATTCTTTGATTATAAACTCATGATCATTCTTTAAATTAGCCAATGTGGGACTTTCATCATCCGATTTGTTAGTGAAAGAGTGAGTGATTGAATGGTTGATGAGAAAATTATATTATGAAGAGCAGGAAGGATATATATATATAGAATATAAAAAGATATTAAAAAATCTACCTAGAAATCTCGAGAAAATTTGGTAACAAACCAATAAATCAAATCAAATCAAACGTAAATCAACTCTTGAGATTTAATCAAATATTAATTGACAGCAATCTAAACAAACACGTGATCTTTATAACTCCTCTTGTTTAGATGCTGCAAACTCCAAGCTTTTTTTTGAAATCTTCAAACTTGCTAAGTGGCAGAGGTTTGGTAAGAACATTTGCAATTTGATCTTCAGATTTGCAGTAGCAAAGAGTCACATCACCACTCTTTTGAACTTCTCGAACAAAAAATAACTTGATGTTGAAATGCTTAATTTTTCCAAGAAAAACTTGATTATTGGAGATTGCAATAGCAGCTTGGTTATCAACTAGTATCTCAGTGCTTTGTTTTTGCTCCAAGTTTAGATCCACGAGAATTTTCCTTAACTAGAGAGCTTGATTAACTGCCGCTGTTACCGCTATAAATTCTACCTCAATAGTGGATTGAGCTACAGCTCTTGCTTTCTTGAGCACCAAGAGAACATGCCTGATCCGAGGCAAAAACAGTAACCAAATGTACTCTTCATGTCATTGATTGAGCCACCCCAATCACTGTAAGAGAAACCAATTAGTTTCATTTCCTTGTGCTTTAAGAACTTCACTCCATAATTCTAGGTTCCCTTGATGTATCTGATAACTCTCTTTGCAGCTTTGATGTGAGTCTCATTGGGACAATGCATGAATTTGGAGAGAATACTTACAACATTTAAGATATTAGGTCTGGTTGTTGTTAAGTACATTAGACAACCTACCAAACTTCGGAACTCAACTTCAATAACTTTGGCAGAACCATCATCTTTTACCAGCTTCTCTTTTTGATTCATAGGAGTATTCATTGCTTTGCAATCCTCCATATGAAATTTTTTAAGTATCTCATTTGCATACTTTCTTTGGCAAATGAACACTTCATCTTGGGTTTGTTTGATCTCAATGTCAAGGAAATGTGACATCAGACCAATGTCTATCATTTCGAAGATCTTTTTCATTTCCAGTTTGAACTTTTTCATTTCCTATAATTAATAAGTCATCTACATAAAGAGAAATTACTAAAGTATTTGTACCTTCATGCTTGACATACCGCGTGAGTTTAGATTGACCTTTCTGAAAGCCAAGACCAATCAAATGATTATCAACTTTTCTGTACCTTGCTCGCGGAGCCTATTTCAGACCGTATAGAGCCCTTCTCAGCAAGTAGACTTTATTTTCATTGCCTCTATTCACAAAACCTTCAGGTTGCTCGACAAAAATTTCTTCTTGCAAGACTCCATTTAAGAATGCATATTTAACATCTAACTAGAACACTTTTCAACTCTTTTGAGCAACAAGAGCAAGCAACAATCTTACTGTATCAAGCCTGACAACAGGTGCAAATGTTTCTGAATAGTCTAACTCCAAAAACTTGCACATATCCCTTCACAATAAGTCTTGCTTTGTATTTGTTAACTGAACCATCAAGATTTAGCTTTGTTCTGAACACCCATCTTACTCCAATTACCCTTATGTTTAGAGGTCGATCAACCAACTCTCA